AACGTAAAAGGGGTTCAAGTATAAATTCACATCTAATACAATGTCATCTATGGTTTAGTTGAATAAAGCTAATTACGTTTCAAAGTTTGTAATGGTTTTAATTTGTAATATAACTTTTTGGGGGAGTGAGTTGGTCTAGTGGTTAGAGCGCGGGACTTTGTTCCAAGAGGTCCCGGGTTCAAATCACCAATGGATTTTATCCAAGTGATAATGTCGCAACCCCTAGGTCTAGCCTGAAGTAGGCTAGTGTGAAAAACAATTCCAGGCTGGTCTTAATGTTTGTATTTAATAAAAAGCTCAATTTAATCAAATAATTATTTATTTACAATATCCAACACAATTCGGAGTTTGGACTAGTACCGGCCCAGCTGTAATACACATTGTTTAGCACCATTTGGCCCATCTGGTGGTTTGTATGTAAATGCGGTCCTGTCACAGACATGAGGTACATAGCCGTTGTATAATAAAACTGTTACCGTATGTCGACAGTGTTTATGGCTACCTAATAACAAGTCAAAACAATTATGGCACACGTAGGGCCGTAAATTTAAACCAATACAAGCACTACAGAAAATAGTTTGTAAAAATACCAAAACTACTCTAGCTGTGTAATTTCTTTACAATTTGAGCCCCAAAAATATTTTAAAATAGGTACTCCTCGTTCTATTTGTAACGATAATGCTTAAAAGGATATTCAAAATTTTAATTGGATCCTGGCATTGTAACTATATAAACCCAAAAAGTATTCTAAGTTAGTACGGTAGAACCTTGATAAGAAGACTCTCAAGGAGATTGTTAAATGAGACTTGTTATCAAGGTTGACTCCTTATTGAGGTTTGCAATAATATGTGATTTGGGGTAAAATAAATTCAAGGGGATTTGAAAATGAAACTTATTATCAAGGGTGACTTGTTATCGAGGGTCTTCTTATCGAGGTTCCACTGTACAGTATAACCTTGATAAGAAGACTCTTAAGGATATTATTAAATGTGACTTTTTATCAAGGTTGACTCCTTATTGAGGTTTGCAATAACATGTCATTTGGGGTAAAATAAATTCAAGGGGATTTGAAAATGACACTTGTTATCAAGGGTGACTTGTTATCGAGGGTCTTCTTATCGAGGTTCCACTGTAATTAGCAAATCGGTTTCTCTCTTAGTAACATTATGTTGCTAAATACATCTTGGCTTGTCTCAAAGTGCATATTTAGTTCTTTAAGTATTCTAAATACAGCTTTATTTGTCATGTAACATTTAAACAAATCAAAAGATATCCAGAACTAAAAGTTCTGTAAGAGATATTTAAAATAAAACGCATTTCCAAAATAGCAATAGATTGATTTTATGAACCCAATTTACCTTAAGAATAGTTCAAAATACTACAGGATTTATCTCAAAGTAATGTAGTGATATCTTCCGTCTCTTGGCACTTGAATGAATCCCAAATATATTCAGAATTAAACTAGATCCCTATCCTAGTAATACATAAACCATAAACGTGTTCTGCTTTAGTGACTCCTTCTGATAAATATTTACATTTTGACCATAAAAATACAACTACAGTTGTTTTTTTGTAACCATAACAATAAAAAAAAACTTTTAAAAATGTAGATGATTTTCCTAGCACCTATTTTTCCTTTGTTTCTTGATCCGTAATTTAGCGACTGCATACAATAAAAGCATATTGTAAATTGAATCTTAAACGACAACCAATACCATTAAACCAAAACTTAAACTATAACCTTATATTCATCACTGACTTACAAAAAAAAAAAAAGGTTTTTGCTGTCTCATAGCAATAATGGTACCGTTTAAATCAAAATCCATCCTCACACGACTACCCCTAATAAGGGTATTGATCTTGAAAACAATTAAAATACTACTCAACTCTCTTAAACATCAATAAACAATTTTTTTTACACAAACAACAGTTATAGTTATGGTTTATATTGATTTTTCAATTCCAATCTCAACTACACTAAGCCCCAATTATAAGCTATAAAACAATAATTCTTCCAAACGGCAACTGGCATTTTAAGACTCTTGCTAGGAGAGTCTTCAGTAAAAGCCCGAGTGAAGGGTTTCTTCAAGGGCTCTTTATAACGGTGGAGAGTCAATAATGCTTGAGACAATTGAGTACGCATTATTTGAGTAGATAGGATATCTTCAAAACCACAGGAACATTATGAACTCATCCATTTAAGACATACACCGATATTACAGATATTTTAGCAAAGGGGAATAGACTTTCTCCCTCTAATCTTAGTGTTTTGTATCCTGTAACAATTGAGTGCATATTTTCTCTTTATTTCGTTAAATATTTCAGGTTCTTTCACAAACTCTAAAAATAAAACGTTAAATAAACCAATATGTGTTGACTACTGTTGAAAATATCATATTACCGTTTCAAGTGCAGGCTGTAAAGTCTGCACAAGAAAAAGAGAGAACAAATTAGCATAAACGCACGCATAAATTCTGATCATTAAATTCATGACAAACTATACTTCAAACCTAACGTTTGAAGCAAAATCAAGTATGATGAGACAGTTTACATTATCCAAAATCTTTTGTTTAAGTTCCGCTTTCACATCCCAATCCAGATTACTTAAGAATAAACTAATCCAAAGATATCCAAAGTCAATGGAATCAGTGAAAAATTAAGAAATTGTTTGGAATGATCTATTATAAGATTAGTAATGTTCGTACATTGTTCTATATATAGGTTCAAATAAAAATGAATAATGCATTTTATTGAATATTCAAAATTGTGATCGTCATAGTATTCATCTTAATTTTTTTATTATTTTTTTATTTCACGTGAATTCATTTAACTATTTACTAAACTACTAATTCTCTGTAAATATATATTTCATTGTTTTAATAGTGTTGGTTATTACGTAAAATTTACTTTGCCATTTAAATATTAAAAGAACTCGTTAGGGATTTAATATAGAATTTCAAGAGTTCAATTACTTATGAAGCATCTCTAAACATGTTTTTGTGGTAGGATATAAACCAGCCTCGACATGTTAAACTCGGTGAAGCTTATAAAAACTGCAAATCGTCTTATCTTCCCTCCAGGGGATATCTGTCGTGTACTGCTCTCTGTGTCCGCTGGGATGTTGAAATGTCAACACTTGTAATATCGTTTATTTTACTCAATATACAGCACAGATATGATAAAATACGTTTATAAAACACTGTTCGATAGCCTTATATAATGTATATCTATAAATACATTTTTTAATGTGACAATGGTGATTTTGATCGCTCACACAGGTCATCGGAAGTTTCAGAAAAAATTACGATGGGTCTTTTAGTTACTGTAAAATAGTAGTATTACTGTAAAATACTCATCTCCGTTTAAGTGCAAAGATTTTTGGTGTGACTAGTTTAAACCAATATCCATTCTCTCGTATGTATTGAAATCTTCTGTTTTTTTTTTTAAATACCTGTAAATACATAAAAAAATATTGGATGCAGAAACCTGTGAAACAGCGCCAACACATTCTATAATGGGTGAACTAACAACAGGATAAAACAAAAGTTGTATTTTTGCTGTTACATTATTGTAGTAGCTTTCTAAAAAAATATAATATATATGGTTTAGTCTAAATGCATCAGTCAGGATACTTTTCCTGTTTGCAACTCTTTTGATTCCTTTCATCTCATTTAACTCTTTCACGTCATTGGTTAGATCGTTTCATTGCAAAGTAAACACATTTCTACCTCGACTTTTACCACTATATTGTTGACAATCTTTCTCTACTACTTCGTTGTGAATTGTAGAGTCCTTTTTGCTTTATATGACAAAACAATACACAATTCAGCTATATTTAGTTGATATTTAGTAAAAAAAAAAAACACCATTTACAGATGCGTCTAAAGCTTAAAACCTACGAAAATGACACAATAGTGTACTCTTAGACGCAATACTGTGTAACCTATATCCCTCCTACTAAAACAAATTTAAGAGCAAAACCTAGTCACAAGATAACATGCATTTGTGTTAATGTTTAATTTTATGGTATTTGTATTCTTCCTAAACATAAAAAATACTTAAAATAATTTGGAAAAAGTTACTCTAGCTGATATTCGTTGATAAACTTTATCTCAATAATGATGAAAAACTTTTATGAAACGAGGAACCAGTGAAGCAGTCTTTTAAAGAAAAATCCATGATTAATCTTGTTGTCAATTACTACGAAATTTATTCAGAAACATTATGCATCTAAGGAACATATTGTGACAAAGAAAATATTACTTTCTAAAAAAATAATCGTAATTATTTCAGACATTATTCTATATTTTAACTTGAATTAATGTGATGACCAGTTTTACTTTTCTATGTTTTTTTTTGTATTTTATACAGTTGAAAATATTTTTAAATGCGCGAATGCTAATTACTATTATCAAACAACTTGAATAAAAATGTCTTTGTTGGGTTATGAAGGATTATATACTCTAAACAGTTATTAAGAGTTCACATTAGTCACTTGTTACGTTTTTAACCAAAAGAAAACAAAGGGAATTGTTATTGAAATGTTACCATTAGCCCAAACAAAACATTTCTACTGAGTTGCTTCTATGACCTATTAATCAAGCCTGTCACAATCAGAGTCTCAAACAATTTGTCAAAAGTTTCCATTTTGTTTTGTTTCAAAATTTATCTTTCACGAACGACAAACTACGTTGTGTTGGAAATGTCATTCTAGCAAATGTCGAATACTTCCTACTATTAATCAAGAGTAAAAAAAAACTTAACATTATTATCTCCCCTTCAAAGAATTTGCTTGTAGGTTTTAAAACTCAATCATTCTTAAACTTTTTTCTTGAATAAAATAAGTATAGCTTATAAATATTTTCATTGCTATAGTACAATTCCTAACAATGCTACCATAGCTTAAACCAACGCTACTAATGTTTAAACAATCTAATTAATGTGTTATATATTTACTACACTTTAAGCTTTGCGCATTATAATGTTTTCCTCATTTCCAGGATAAAATGTACCGACTGCCAGAGGGTGCGTTTCTAGAGCTACTTAGACCGGGTACCGAAGTGGCCCTTACTTGTGGAGAGGTGAGAAACATTCTGTTCTTGCATGACTAGGTATACAAGTAGTGTTTGTGTTATTCCATTCAATCATATCAAAACGAGATTCGTCTCAGAAGAACAAATAAATAATTTCACAGTAGACTCCCTCTTATCCGGACACCTTTTACCCGGACAACAGTTTAACTGGACTACACTCGGCGGAAATGACATCTCTTTAACCGGACAATTCTTATCAGGACATCGGTTTAGCCAGACTAGATCGGCAGGTAGTAGGCTGTACTGAAGCGACTGTTCTCGTGGGAAAGATTTGACACCAGTGATCACGTGTCTAAATACAATGCACTCTATTTTTATCTACCTGGTTGTAGAGTTGTAGAGTTTAACGCCATTTCGCAAAATATTACACCAAAATAAGCTTGAACGCGTTTTTATGTCATTAGAATGGTTAAACCTTTGATTTTCTTCTCACACGGAACCCGTGCCTGTGCAAGGAACTTATTGATAATAGTAAGGGATGAGTCTGGTACGATAAAAGAACCATAATTATACACAATATTTTTAATTTTTGTCATCGGAAAGTGAGGTTACGACATCATGTATTGGTTTCAAATCCGCTCATGTTACATCAACCGCACCGGATCACAAAAATATAATCAGGGATCGATGATTCAAAGAGGGTTCCTCCTTGATTACCTAGTGTCAAGATTTTAGAACCCAATGACGTATTATGGGTCAGTTAGTTTGTCAACAGGTTAGGTTATCTAGCAGTACATTTTCTCAGCTTTTCATTGCTGACTTTGGAATTTCGCTCTTTTAACAGTAAGTTTTACATGATTAAAAATAAGTCAATTAAATTACGTTACCAAATACTTTATTTATTAATTCCACGGCTAAAACTCTTCAGTTGTTTAAATATAACTGTTATAAGTATTAGACTCTTGTTTCACTTATTTTCATGCAATTCTTAACATTTTACATAAGTGTCAACAGCTGTGCAACCCATATCAACCACAATCACAATCAAACGTTTCAGAGAAGTTTAATGTACACTGTGAGCTGTTTTGTATGACACTCAGTTTGTACCTGAAACTTTCACTGCAATTTGTTAATGTGCAATCACCTCCTACCACTCCCATTTTCCAATTTGGTTGAAAGCAGAGTTTCGGCAGAGTTCTGTATGTGGTTTAGTTCTCGTTTTGCATTGTTCGCGGTTTCCTGGCTTACTGTAAACTAAACACAACAGCTTTAAGTTTACCAAATGCACACTAATATGTATCCAAGCCCCTCCAGTCATTTGTAATACACAATGTATTTTTGACAGTGATATTCGTGACTAATTCGATGTAAAATATTGAAGTTAGTGAAATCATAATGCGTAAAAATCTACCCTTTAAAATTATGATACTATACCATTTATTTATTTATTTATTTCCAACGGACATCTCCATTTTACAGCATACAAAACAAAACATTAAACTCAGGATGACTTATTTGATAATAACAAATTTTGTACTTATATATTAGAAATAAAATCAACAATATATAATGATCTAATAACAAACCATTGTGGAAGACTTATCTTTGCAAAGATGTTCAACTGCCATGAAGCCTCACAAGTTACAGTTCTGTCAAATATACGATTTGCTCACTAACATGGGAAACCTTGTAGATATGTTTATACACTATTCATCTGACATTACCTCGATACATTATTTAAACATCAAACAAACATATTTTAGCTGACTTAGTTCAGAAGGTTGCTTGGATATCATAATTTTTATCCTGAGCTTTCTTTCATGGCTTTCAAGCAATTTTCCAGACCAGTGCTGAGAAGGAGGGCGAGAGTGCTCTTTCATGTTTCTAACTAATTCCTTGGGTCTTCATCCATCACATTTCACACAGAGCTCAGAAATATTATCACGAAATGAAGTCAAGTTTGTGTTGTCGAAGAACCAACTAATTATTTTAATGCTAGACACCATTTCTTTTGTGTTTGGTTGAAATATCATCAACAAGTTTTGATTCTAACTCTTTGGAAATATGAGTAGATGGAATTACCTGAGGTTTAAGTTTTTAATTTGTTATTTTATGGGTAAACCTTCACTATTCGACAAATTTCATTAAATTATAGTCAATACAAATACAGCCAATACAAATACAGTGTTCTTTGCTACAGTGTTCTGCTACAGTGTTCTTGCTATACAGTGTTCTAACTAATGAAATGGATACTAATAAAATAATAAACTAGCTTTTAGTTAATTTTTTATTAACTAATCCTCTGAATTAGTCATTTGTTGGCTTAGTATAAATGCCAAGTCAAAACAATTTTTGCATGGATTTAAATCACTATCTATTTTGGGTATAGATTACGAACTCAAGTGATAAATTATAATCCTAATCGATATGTTTTGTATTTGTCTCGCACCCAAACATAAACGATTCAAATTATTATGGTATCGATTAGATTGATATATAGGAAATTTATCTAATTTTCTAGAGCCTTGTGGTAACAAAAACAGCAAATCCATTATAATGTTACTAACCCATCATCAGCAACAGTATAACTAAATTGGCACATTAATATGGACGATAAACTGTAATAGGCTAATAACATGTTCAGTATAAATGGATCCCCACATCAAGAACCTCATAAGGGCTTACTTAGATAGATTTAAAAGAATTACTTATTGCATAGGTCATTATTTTTTTATAAGATATTACTAAACAGTAGGCACGACAAAACATATAATTTCCACCATGTATTTTATTACTTTCATGTGTTATAGGGCCTATATAATTTTTTTTTATTCTCATTGCTTTAATATTCCTCCATTTATTAGTTGAAATGTATAGGATCAGTACCATATAACAATAAATTGCATATTGTTATGGTTAAAATACAAAAAATATATAATTACGTTTTGTAACGAGCATTTTTTCTCTCTTTAAAAGTTCATAGACTAACAAATGATTCATGAATAGACAAGAGTCTCCATTTATTTGTTTCATCTGCGTAAAAGAGTCGTTATCTTAAGAAACGAGGTTCCATAAAGTTTGATTGCTTTCCCTGTTCAGTCTTAGACTTCTGTTCACCTTCATTTTCGTGATGGGTCTGGCCTTATATTTCTTGATAATTATATATCTCCATTCTGACATTTTTTCTTTACTTTTTGTTTATAACCTTTTACTGCAGGTAAATACACTTTAATAAACTAATTTTTATGTAGTTGTATCCAAAAGAGTGTTTTGACATCTTAAATTAGTTAATTTGAAGACCTCATTATTTATATTTAAGTGTTTACCTTATCATACACTTACAAAAACTGATTATTGGTTGCGTTTTATCATTTATCAAAAGTAAAATTTAAAAGTGCTACGGGACAAAATTAGGTAGGCTACCTAAACTTAATGCAAATAAATAAACATTTGCTAGGCTTAATTGGACTAAGAAAAAGTGATAGAAAAATGGCGATGTTTACTCACTGGTAGAATTTCCAAGACAGAGAGTCGGTCCTCTTCGCCTATCCTCCGCGTCTTCCTCATGGCCTTCTTGATAATAACTTAGTCTTGCCAATATGTATACTATGTGTAATATGGTTACCACCATATTACATAATATATTGACATATTGATTATTTATAAAACGAGACACATCTCTTCTGGTATTTAACAATTCCCTCCCAACCATCATAAAAGGACAAAACAATCAATATAATCTTCTCAAAACAAAAAACAAAAAATAAAACTTCTTCGTGAAACATAAAATACTAAATTTTTCTTGGAGGGAACTGATTAACTTCTATTAAAGATCGAGTTTCCTTGGAGTAGTAAAAAAAATACAAATTATAAATCTAATAAGGTGACAAGTTATTTGTATTTTGACTGGCCAAAAAATTATAATTAACTAAATACTATATCTAGAAGTTAATCAATAAGATTTAGATTTACCAAATCCCAATGATACCAAGTCATGTTCAATTATCGTCTGATCTACATACCAAATGTAGTGGATTATTATCAGGGGTTGAGAGGATGAATATGAATAAATTTCACTGAATAAGATTTCTTCTAAAAACCTTCTCCTTTCCACCCCTCCCCCTAAAACCCACCAAAACCAAGGGGCAGCTTAGGCTCTTGCATGTTAAGGCTAATAGTATGACCGAGGATTTCCTTTCACTAAATAAACCCCAGACAAATTTGTTTAAATATATTTCTTTGGATAAAAAAATATGCCTACATTTAAACAATAGCATTACGGTAGAGTAAAATGTATAAAAACTAATAAAAAAATTAAACATTAAGTTTTACACTTATTTTTAGCTAAACATATGCTAATAAAAATAATTATTAAATCTAGTTGCGATTTTTAATCAATAAAATATTTAAGTTTTACCAGTACAGTAGGTATTACCACAGACGATGGACCACAAATGGTATATTTTCTGTGGTATTAGAGAAACGAGTAACACATTTTTAGGTTATCTTCTTTTGTTAAATTTCTTAGTCGTCAAATAATAAAATGCTGAAAATACCTGCTCGAAAAATTTAAAAAGTTCGTCCGAAGGCTCATTAATACCAAGATGGCTTCACGGTACAACTACTCATCATAGCAGGGATAAGGGAAAGGCGTATTTGCAATTAGTTTCTATTGTAGAGCTACCTGTAGACAATAGGTCGTGCCTTATAGATCTCTGGAGCTGGTAGCTCATTTATATTCAAATACTATAGTCGCTAAAGTTCATCGAAGGTTTCATTATCAATTGTTTGATAGTGTACTTTTAATCAGTAGTCGAACATTGTAGATCACACTGAAATTCCCATGTTACATTTAACGTTTATTATTTTCGTTTGATTGCGTACTTACGTATTAAAACTGGTTTTAACCATGTACAGTTTTGTTGTTGATTATTAAATATTATGGAACTTGGGAGTCACTAAATTACCAGACTACAATTACTACGATGTTTTAAGATTAGTATTCACTAAACCTGCCAGAAGTCTGAGTGAAAACTGACAGTTGTTCA